GATCTTTGAGAGAAAGTTCTACCGAATAAATTACCACCCTCGGATTTGAAAGATTTTTTTTTCTGAATTTTGGGGGCATGGCAATCATGAAGATCACAATGGAAAATTCTTGGCAAACTCTCTTATAAGCTAAGTTTCTAGCCTGCTAAACGAACGTCGGCGACGCGTCGTAAGATATATGGAGAATTATTTTGTTATTCTCCTAAGCAGCTTGTACATTCCAAAAGCATTTTTAGTCTGCCAGAAGTAGGGAATGAAAAATGACCGATAAAATGGCGGTGAGAACTCCCTGTCCAGGTAAGGCCATGCTGCAACAGCCTGCAAGTAAAAATGTCTCAGTAAAATCCTACATTAGAAGCAGCAAGGCGAGAGAAAATCGACTTTTACCTCCCACTTTGATGTGTCACTTCCACGAGAAGCATACGGTCTATCGAGTTGAAGCTCGACAAGGAAGGTGCATTCATCGAGATCTCGGAGCTGTGAAGTTTATCATCACGAAACAAAAGGGATTCAGTAAAAGACCATGCGTGAAATTAAGAGTGAAAAACTTTCAGGAACTGGAGTTAGTACATATTGCTTATCTGATGCCTTGTTCTTGTTGTTGAAGTATGGTGGAGCAGCTGCAGTCCCTCCCAACGTAGAATTAAACGGGAAAGGAAGAAGACCTCGGAACCCATCGTCGATCCATCTTACTTCTTGCACGTAATCAGGAACGAAAAATGACGATGGAAAACGATGCCACTCGCTCCCAACACAAATTGTGGAACCTGAAAGAAGTGATATGAAGAGTAAAAAATTCTTTATCCACACGAATTTACGAGCAACTAATAGGAGAAGCTGCAACAAAGATTAGCATCTTGTCAAGCTCAACTATAGCCTCAAAAGAAAAGATAATGTATCTAACCTGTTCCTACATCCTCATGGTGAGCCAAGACCTTGTAAACCTCCAGCGGAGCAGAGTAACCATTAATCAATGAAAATGTACGAGCATGGGATGCACAAAGGATAAGGCCAAGAGCAAGGGGTCTAAGAACTTTTGCTATCTGTAAAGCAAATTAAGTAGCTAAATAGAGGGAAACGTTATCGTAATAAATTCAGAAAATGGCGGGGATGGTCGATACTCACCACGACGAGTACAGAATTATCATGTGGATTGTATTTATCTCTGAAAAAATCTGGAAAGCACTCGATGACGGCTGAAGCAGCAACACAAATAAGAGGATATATTGGATAAAGGAATCTGCAGCAGCAATGTGATATCAGGAGAAGACACCAAATATATGCCACCAGCAACGTATATCAGGGAGTGTTTCAACAAAGAATATTGATTAGGAATGCTAGATGAAGCCTTCAAATTCGAAACGGGGAATACTCTTTCTAACAGAGCACAATATCTAGCACCATTTATCTTATCATCCCCAACTTAAAATCAAAAGGGCAAATCTTTACAGAACTTCAACAGCCCAGAAGTTCCAAGCGGAAAAAGTGGAAATTCAATCGAATCATCTTTTCGGTTTCTAGACACCATACATAAACTTTTAAGAGAACGAACTAAAATAATTTTCTTTGTAAAAGTATCAAACCTTTCCTCCTTGTGTGGCTGCAATGTCATGAATCCAAGCCAAATATAAATAGGTGAGATGACCACAAGCAAGTCCGGCACATACTTTTTCCTTGAAATTGGTAAAATTCCCAGAAAGAGTAATGCAAGAACGAAACAAACATTGAAGTTGTTAAATCCATTTCTGAGATAGAACAATGGTCCTTCGGTTCCATACAAGTGGCTTTCACCACCTCCCAAGACGTTATATATCAGCAAATTTAGCACAGATGATGTCCACCTTTTATAGTAGTAGTAGTCGACAAGCAGCGAGAAGGCCTACAAGCCAAGCCATAGGAGCTTTTAGCACCCTTTAACACATTTTATAGAGAAAATCTTCCATTAAACAAAAGATCATAAATAACACAATAAGAAGACATACAAGGAGAACTATGGATGTTAGCGCCCCTGCAAGAAACGCCTCTTTGAATTTGCTGCGTAAAGCGTAAAGTGTGACTGGAAGGAAAACCAAGATCGAAAACGGCCAGCCAAGAATTACACCAGCAGCAGCGACAGCAACTGCTGGAGCAGGTTTCTCAAGTAGAAATAACCCAGAGGACAAAGATACAGCATACATGGAGAATGAACTAGGCAAGAAACCTGTAAAACGAGGCAACGACGAATACAGAGGCAATTCCAGATTAAACAAAAAATACTTAATTAAGTAAAAAAAACATTAAAATGGCCTTTCAGAAGTTACTCACTAGTGCTAGCAAAGAAACAACCACTGGTCAAGCATAACATTGCAAGAGTATAAGTGGCAAGGCGCTTCCCATACTTCTTAGAGAGTGCCACAACAAGAACTGTTTCTGAAATAACAGATAGAAGACCAAGGAAAAGTCTTACAGCAAAGAATACTCTCACCTGCAATTTAAAGAGAGATTAAAACCAGACATATCT